GTTTAGAAACAGAGTCAATCACCTGTGAAACTCAAGGTAGCTAGAAGCACAGGCAAAGGGGCCCAGAAGTCACCGAAGCTTTATGGAAGAGTGAGTGAACCTACCGCATAAAATCTGATGTCAACTAACTTTCACATCTTCATACTTCACAAAAAGAACTTCACTGGGCTGTAAGGATAGTGGGGGGCGGGTAAGGCATTTGCATTTCACACTGTTGATTCCAGACTCCAGTGATTCCTGCATTTGGTCCTCTGGAGCACACCTAGGAGTAATCCCTGAGGGCACAGACAGGAAAAAGCCCTGAGCTTTCTCCTTTGCTCACTAGTCCCCCCCATAAAAACAACAAACAAAAAGACACAGTTAATTCATCAAGATGGGACTTCAGCAAAGACCAGTGACAGACCACCTCAATACAAAGAGTAGCACTGATCTTACTGAGGTGACAACAAAGCAAAATATACCTTTCCCAAGGCACCACTGGGGCGGTTCTGGTGGTCACTTAGGATTACAGGGTCAGAGAGCACCTCATCATCAGACCGTCACATTGGCTCTGGCTGCAGTGACCCCCCCCCCGCCCCCCGCAGATTCCCCGAGTGATGACTGGAAGCCTCCCTAAACTCTTCAAAACTAAAAAAAATTCTTTAATTTTTTTGAGGGGGTATGGAGCACAGTGGCAATGTTCAGGGCTTACTTCTGACTCTGCCCAGGGATCATTCCTGGAGGGGCTTAAGGATCATATGAGGGGCCAATGATCAAACCCCATCAGCCATATGCAAGGCAAGCATCTTACTCACTGCAGTATCTTCCTCGAGCCCTCCTCAATACTTTTAAACAAACAACTTTCTCTTCGTTCCCTGAGTTTTTTCTCTGGACAAGCTGCTTACTCGAACCTCTGAATGCTCATAGCTCATCTTGGGACTCTCACTTCTTGCCATAAATGATAAATACTTACATATGTCTGTTACGTATGCTGTGTTAGTGAAAGATCTTAAATATAAGGACATTCATTAAATCATTTCCAAAAGAATTGTCACTGTCTCTGTCCTCCCGCTGTTCATAGATTTTCTCGAGCGGGCCCAGTAACGTCACCATTGTGAGACTTTGTTATTACTGTGTTTGGCATATAGAATTAATTAAAAAACAATAATCTTCCATTTAATTTCCCAAGGTGATGGGTAAAGGTTGATGCTCAAATATTTAATAAGAAGAGAGTGAATGAACAAAATGTCTGACCCTGAAAAATGTAGCAGTCTTTATTCAAATATAGGTTCCACATGAATATTAACTCAATTAATTTTAGTAGGCATTTATATATACATAGAACATGTCAGATCCTGTCATAATCAGACTAGAAAACTCAATAGAAAACTCAATATGTCTAAGAAGGCAATTATATGCATTAATTGATTTATGTATTTAATCGAATTCCTATGAAAATAATCACAGGTATTTTTGCAGAAACTTAAACTGATTCTAAAATTTACGTGAACATGTAAAGACTGTAACAGGAAACAAATTTTGCAAAATAATAAAAGGTAAAGGGCTGGCGGAAACAAATTTCAAATCTCAAATAAAAGTATTACTATAGTAATCAAAGTAACATGGGTCTGGCATTAGAGTAGACAAGTAGATAACAGAACATAACTCAGAACCTAGAAATAAGTCTTTACAATTATTATGAAGTGATTTCTGCTCAGTTCCAGATAATTCACTGGAGAAAGGATGTTCTTTTTAATAACTGGTGTTTAGATAACTGGATATCCACACACAAAAAATGCATTTAAACCAATTTCACAAAAAATGAATTCAAATTGGATCAAAGAACTAAAATAAGAACTAAGTGTACAAAACTTGAAAGAGAAAATATTGTGACTCTGATTTATACATAACTATAAAAGATGAGACAGACTTTACAAAAATAAAAAACTTTTTCAAAGAAATTAGGTAAAAATTTTTAAGTCACAGATTCAAAGAAAATATCTACAAATCAGATGTCTGATATAGGACTTCTATCCAGAATATATAAAGAACTTTCACAGCTCAATAACAAGACATTCCAATTATGATATGAACGTGAATATGAGTATCTTTCAACTAAGATATACAGATGTCACAGAGAGATAAACTAGTATGCGCATGAAAAGACATGCATCATCACTCATTATTATGTCCACGTAAGTCAAAATTTACTGCACTGCCAATAAACAAAATTCCTGGCCTGAGTAAAGATGTGGAGAAACTGGAAGTCTCATGCAACAGTCGTACAATCACTTTGAAAAACAGTCAATAATTTGCTTGGCATCCAGCTTTCTACTCTAGGGAATCTTGAAGTACATTATAGCTTTAAGAGTCTATATTACACATACTGTCCATACACTCAAGCTTAATGTCATTCAATTGTTTTTACCGCTACTCTTATCACTGAATTAAATATAAGCTCCATGAGAGCAAACTGTATGTTCCCACAGTAATAAATTGCTAAGCATCCAAGTTTTCCCACTTACTTCATTAGTGCCACTTCTTGCTTTAATACACAAGGGGTGCGCATTAGAAAACATTTCTAGATTTCTGGGGAAAGAGAAAAAAGAAGAGGCCAGCATTGGCCAAAATTGTGGAGGACTTAAAATTTATTTGAATGTAGTTCAGCCAATACTTTTGTCAAGAAAAATATCTGGGGAATACCTAAATGGCATCTGGCCCAGCTTTAGAAGAGCTATGCAAATTAACAATTCTTTTAATTTCCTCCTCCTCCCCACCCCCCATTTAGGGAGGCTTTACCTGACACGGATTCTAATGTAATCTTCAGTAGGTTCCAGGATTTTATGAAGCAGTTTTAAGATTTGTACTAGGAGTGAATGGGACGGCCACAGAGTCATGTTTAATCTGTGGCTACTCCTATTCAAGAAACAAATCAGATCATTGTGAACGAAAGCATGAATGAATGAATTCCCATGGTGGAACCAAGAAGAAGAGGCTCATCTCTGAAGAGCAAAGGCACTCAGATACCTTATTTGGGTCTGCTCTAGTCCTCAGCTGCCTGAATAGCTTATTCGTGTGTACTTACTCATTATTCATTTATTCCAGGGAAATGATCATCAAAGGCCAATTCCTCTACCATTCTTTTCTTCCCTCCTATCTCCTTAAGAGAGGTGGGCAGTGAGGGAAACTATCGTGATTTCACCAGTTTTGGTCCATCCAACAACAGCAAGGAATCTACTAAATTACGGTCCATTACATACCAAGCGTTTGCACACACATAACCTACTCTTTACCTGAATTTGTTAATAATTCGCAGGCATGGAAATGACACCAAATCCCTTTGTAAACCATTTCTTGATAATTTAGTTACTCTGACATCTAAAATTCACATCTTCATTGTTAAACCTCAAATTAAATGCCAAAAATGTTGCTGCAAATAGTGGTATCGTTTCTTTTTACATCCTTGTATTAGTACAACAGGGGTGGAAAAACAATACTTTCATAAAAATCAAGCTTTAAATAAGGGTGTCAATTCTGATTTTCTGAGTTCTTTTCGAACCACCCACTATGAGGGTCGCTTTATTTTTTCAACTTTTTAAAAGCCTGGACTGAACTGCCTATTGGTTGGTGAGATGTAATTCTCTTACGATTAAATGAGCTAAGAACAGAAGTCAAATTCTTCCCACAGCATAAGTGCATATAATCTATACACCATAAAATTTTAAGTCCCTCCTCCTTCAAAACCCTTTTAATTCTTCTTTTTTTTTTTAAATTAGGGGAGACAGATTCCCACCAAATTCTTAGCAGTGGCAAATTAAAAGGGAAAAAGTGTCTTTTAGAAACTTAAGTATTTTGAAATAATGCACCCATTCACAGTCTTCCACTGCTGAAACAGGCTGTGATTTGTAATCCGAGGTCAGACATAAGAGCCACTCTGGCTGGCACAGCAGAAAAAAAAACCGGGGCGGACGGTGCTGGGAGGGTGAAAATCATCTTTTAATAAATTTTTAAAATTCATTATTATTTTTTAAAAAACCATTAAAGAACCGTGATTTACAGAGTTATTAAAGAGTTGAGGGTTAGGCAAAGACTGTTCTAGCACCAAGCCCACCAGCAGCAAATCCTTTGAGGAGCAGCTAACGGGACGCCCATCCCCTTCCCACCCTGGAGCAATGACAAGTGGCAGCCCCACTCCGCAGGGGGGCTGCATCCTCGTGCCCGACTCCTGGGGTCCCGGTGCCTAGCGGAGGAGGAAAAAGGGCACCAGCAGGACCCGCTTCCCTCCAGGCCTCGGAGGGGCAGCGGGAGCGCGCCCACCGCGCCCTCCCGGGCCGGACCAAGGTCTGAGCCCCAAAGTGGTCGGGACGGCCAAGGGGGCTCGTGCCACGCCGGCCTGCGGGGGATCCCGGCGGGAGAGAGCTGGGCGCGACGATTCCCTTCTCCTGGCCCTGCGCTGGGTCCCACCCGGAGGGGACTCCCCCCCCCCGACCCCGGGCCAGCCAGCGCACACTGGCCTGCAGCGAAGGCGCGCGCGGGGTGGGTGGGGGGCTGAGTGCACTTTTTGAAATGTAGCTTTTCCTGGGCGCAATCGGAGCCCTGGCGGCCGTCCAGAGCACCCTCGCACCCCGGTCCCATTTCATGTTTTCCGTCCTTTTTTAAATGCATGCATTGGCTAGTTCCCCCGCCCTCCAGCCCCCTGCCAGGCAACTTGACCACACCGATCACACGCCGGCAGTTTGCAAAGAAAAACTCCGCCCCCCCCGCTCCCCCGGAGCAGCAGAGCAGGGAGGAATAGAAAGCGCAGAGAGAGAGAGACAGAGACAGAGATACAGACCGAGAGTCCTCGCTACAAAGTAACAGTCCGAGAAGGACGCCCGCAACAGGCATCCGGAAACCAGCGCGGAGCAGCCAAGACACCCACCAAGCCCGCAGTTGGCTGCGCGCACAAACCAGGTTCCAAGACCAGATTCGCCCCGAGCACAACTCGAAGGCCTCGGAAATCGTTCCGGCGAGGTTCTTACCTTTCTCTTCGGCATAATGACTATGTTCGTGGCTATTATTCAAATAATAATAATTTTTTAAAAAAAACGGGTAAGGCCACGAGCTGGACGGGCTGGCCCCACCGCGGGCTGCGCCGCCGCTGCAGCTTGCACGGGCGCTGGGCTCGGCCTCGGGGACCTGCGCCTCCGCGGCTCCCTCCCGGGCTCCCCGCTCGCTCCCCGCTCGCTCCACCAATAAGCGCGCCCCGTCGCCGGCCGCGAGGCCCCATTGGCTGCCGCCGCGCCGGGAATTCCACGAGGACACGCCCACCCCCGCGCGCCGGGCCGCGCTGTTGTGGTTTCCACTCGGGCGGCGGAACAGCGAAGGGAAATCTGCCTGGCGACTGAGCATGCGCAGTTCAACGACGCACCCCCACCCCCCACTCCCAATCGCTGGGTCCTGGAGTTGTATTGTTTTGCTGCTCCCTCTTTGGATCTTATCAGTGGGAACAGCTCTCTCCCGGAGGAAACGGAGGGGCACCGTTGATTTTCTTTTTTTCTTTTCCTTTCTTTTTTTTTTCCAAGTGTAAAGATTAGATTTTTATTTTTTTTAATTTGATTTTTAAAAAATTTTTATTAGTTGAAACACCATGAGGTACAGTTGTAGACTTACACATCTTTGTGCTTGGGTTTCAGTTATTTTCTAATACAGGCGGCAGGGTGCTAGGTTTCCCACCCCTAACGGTTTGTTATGAAGATTATGTGATGGAAAGAGTAGGAAGGCATTCATCCTGCTCTGGAAAAGTCTGGCAATCTCGGAGGGTCTCGGTTTCCCTTCTGTCTAGTGATGATGATCCCTAAGATTGTTTAGCTGTTGATTTCCCAAAATGCATGAATACGCATCATCACTGATTCTGCAACATAAAAATGGAGTTGGAGGTGAATATATATTATGTTTTTTTTTAAAGGTCAAAACATTATTATATATATTTTAAACGTTTAATTGATACCTGTCATGCACCATTTCTCAAAAATATTGCAAGGCATTAAAAAGGACATCGTTGAAATGCCGTCAAATTAATTTTATTAGGTAGTTTCATTTTGATCCCTAAGCCAGTGAAATACCTTAAAAGAAGACAGTACGGACCTGATAAACATGTCACATGTATCTGGAAAAACCTTTAATAAACCAAAGCCAATGCTTAAAAGAACGATTACATTATGATTAGCGCCTTTTACGAAGTTGTTTTAACATCTGGAAATACATGAAATTAAACTTACTAATAAGATAAAGGAACGATCAGTATGATCATTTTAGCAGATATAAGAAGAAAAGTTATAGTGACTGGGTAAGCAAGATGTAAATGCATATACTGGACTATTACTCAGCTATGAAAAGGAACACAGGACTTCTACACAAATGAATATCAAAACCCAAATGCTGCGTGGAAGAAGTAAAATGTAAAAGACCATATTAGTGAATATAGTTTACTGCAAAATTGGGCAATCATAATCACATTGGAAGACAGAAGGTCACATCATGAGAAAATGCATTGAAGTTTCACTTTTCACAATTTCAACTTTTGTCACGTCGTCACATTGTGAATGTCAGTAATGTATGCAACAATGTCAACAAGAAATTTCTGGTTCTCAATTTTTAAAAATTAATTTAAAAAATTCTCGATATCTAGAAAAGCTCCAGAAATTGCCAATAATTTTTAAAAACTGTCTTTAGGAACAGAAGGAATTTACATATTTCATGTATTTCGATCTTTTACTATTTCAACATTATTATTTATCAATTTATCTCAGTAAGACCATTTCCCTCTTCCTTTCTTCTTTCCTCCCCTCCTTCCTTCCTTTTGTTTTTGGGCCACACACACCTAGCAATGCTCAGAGATTACTCCCGGTTCTGAACACAGGAATGACTCCTGATGGCGCTCAGGGGACAGTAAGGGGCCCTGGGGATTTAAACCCCATTAACCACAGGCAAGGTGAGCGCCCTACTCACGGTAATATCTCCCCAGCACCAAGAGACCCTTTTCTAATAAGTACCTATTTAACCTTTGGCATCATCACAGTTGTATTTGACAGATTTCTTTTGGTTTTCAGGAACTTAGGAAATCATAATACAATCAGAATTGAAATAAAACCGGTTCTTTGCTATAGAGCTGGATTAAAAAACTTAAAGATTGATTACTTTTGTATTTATGTATATATGATAATGAGGATATCTTAGAAGAGACCCAAGTTGCAAAATCAGATAAGAAAAATTTGCAAATTATTTTGATGGAGTAAGATAAAAGCCATTGGAGGATTTTTTTTTTTTATTGGCGGCAATACCCAGTGCTGTGGTGCAGTGCGGACCTGATAGGTTTGGTGTTTGGGCTGCATTGCTGTGTGTGGCCTACGCTGCGCTTGGGTAGAGCTTAGCATGTGCTCTACCTCTTGGCTGTATTTCCAACCCCAGTAAAGGCATTTTCAGCAAATATCTGTGATAAGGATGTCGGATAGCTCTTGAAATCTTTTTGGGTAGTTTGTGTTTCTATAGCTAAAATAATGTCCCAGTAAAGACAGGGCTAAGATGATTCTCCACCTTCTGTGATGAAAAGTAACTTGCAAATTTGATTTCTTTAGTTGCTATATTTCAACTTTAAGTAATTAACTTATCACTTGTCACTTGTCATCACTTGTCATTCCGTTGTTCCTCGATTTGCTCAAGTAGGCACCCTTAACGTCTCCATTCAACCCTGTCACATGTTAATGTAGCCCAGTGGTGTCTGCTCACTTCAGGAACACAAAGAGCATCAAACTGTTTGTTCAGGTTCTTGATGAAGAAATCTGACCATCTCATAGGTAGGTAGGCGGTCAGGTGTTCTTTTTTTTTAAATTTTTTTTTTTTATTTTTAGTGAAACACCATGAGGTACAGTTGTAGATTTACAATTTTTTGTGCTTGGGTTTTGATTATACAATGATCAAATACTCATCCCTCCACCAGTGCCCATTTTCCACCACCATGGATAATATCCCTCCCACCCCCATCCCCCCATCCCCCCTGTCTCTGTGGCAGGGCAATCCCTTGTGCTCTCTCTCTCCTTTTGAGTGTTGTGGTTTGCAAAAGAGGCATTGAGTGGCAAACATGTTCAGTCCATAGTCTACTTTCTACATGCATCTCCCCTCCTGGGAGGATCCTCCCAACATCCTTTATTTGGTGCTCCCTTCCCTATCTGAACTGCCCTTTCCTCTAGGATACCCGGCTGGCCTCTAAGTTATGGAGTAATCCTCCTGGTGCTGATCTCAGCTATTCTTGGGTATTAATCTCATACTTTGTTACTTTATATCCCCCAGATGAATGCAATCTTTCTATGTCTATCCCTCTCTTTCTGACTCATTTCACTTAGCATGATACTTTCCATGTTGTACCACTTGTATATAAATTTTATGCCTTCATCTTTTCTAACAGCAACATAGTACTTCATTGTGTAGATGTACCAAAGTTTCTTTAACCAGTCATCTGTTCTTGGGCATTCAGGTTTCTTCCAGGTTCTGGCTATTGTAGAGTGCTGCAATGAACAAACAAGTGCAGATATCACTTCGACTATACGTTTTTGCCTTTCTGGGATATATTCCCAGGAGTGGTATTGCTGAGTCAAATGGGAGCTCAATTTCTAATTTTTTCAGAATCGTTCATACTGTTTTCCAGAAAGGCTGAACCAGTCGACATTCCCACCAACAGTGAAACAGTGTCCCTTTCTCACCACATCTGCGCCAGCATCGGTTGCTTTTGTTCTTTTGGATGTGGGCCAGTCTCTGAGGTGTGAGATGGTATCTCATTGTGGTTTTGATCTGCATCTCCCTGATAATTAATGATGTAGAACATTTTCTCATGTGCTTTTTTTGCCATTTGGATTTCTTCTTTGAGAAAGTTTCTGTTCATTTCATTGCCCCATTTTTGGATGGGGTTGGATGTTTTCTTCTTGTGGAGTTTAACCAGTATTTTGTATATCCTGGATATCAACCCCTTGTCAGATGTGTATTTGGCAAATATCCTTTCCCATTCTGTAGACTGTCTTTGTATTTTGGTCACTGTTTCTTTGGAGGTGCAGAAGCTTCTTAGTTTAAGATAGTCCCATTTATCTATCTCTGTTTTCACTTGCTCGGCCAGTGGCATGGCATCTTTGAAGATACCATTAGCTTCAATGTCATGGAGGGTTTTGCCAACTTTGTCTTCAATGTACCTTATGGTTTCTGGTCTGATGTTGAGGTCTTTAATCCATTTTGATCTTACTTTTGTACATGGTGTTAGGCAGAGTTCTGAGCCCACTTTTTTGCATGTAGCCGTCTAGTGATGCCAGCACAATTTGTTAAAGAGACTTTCCTTACTCCACTTCACATTACTTGCACCTTTATCAAAGATTAGATGATCATATGATTGAGGGGAGATGTCAGTGTATTCAACCCTGTTCCATTGGTCTGCAGTTCTGCCTTTGTTCCAGTACCATGCTGTTTTAATTATTACTGCTTTGTAGTACAGTTTGAAGTTCGGGAGGTTGATTCCTCCCATTTTCTTTTTCCCAAGAACTGCTTTAGCTATTCGTGGGGGCTTATTGTTCCATATAAATTTCAGGAGTGTTTGCTCCATTTTTTTGAAGAATGTCATGGGTATCCTTATAGGGATTGCATTGAATTTATACAATGCTTTCGGTAGTGTTGCCATTTTGACAATGTTAAGTCTCTGAGGTGCCTTGGAATCCAGCTGGTAACAGCTCTAGTCCAGCGGTTGTCTCCAAATCACATTACGTGTCCAGCCCATCTGATTTTTGACGCTTGGCAAAAGAGACAGCATCCCTAATTCTCAATTGTTGATGGTTCTCGGAACTCCAGATTCCTTCTCTCACTTGAGTGAAACGTGATACTCAAGCATAGCTCTTTCCATTCCTCTTTGGGTGATCCGAATAGCATTCTCATCCTGTGTTCGTAGGGTCCAGGTCTCTGAGATGTATATTAGTGCAGGAAGAATGGTGGTGTTGAAAAGATGTGCCCAGAGCCGAAGGTTT